GGTAAACGCAGTCTTTAAAGACTTCGAGAAGGCCTTCACTAGTGTTTCTCACCAAATTTTCCTATAAAAACTCAGCTGTATAAGGGTAAGTGGAAACCTTTTGCAGTGGATCGAAAACTTATTGACTAGTCGATCTCAGAACATACGCCTTGATTATCAGCAGTCGGTGGAGGTGGCGGTTGAGAGAAGGGTTCACTGTGGGTCCTTTCTTGGCCCTATCCTGTGCCTAATATATATTTATGACTGCGTAAGCGAATTAAACTGCGGCACTGTCCGCCAAGAAAATGATAAGACGAATCTGCAAGCAAGTTTGCACGATGTCGAGCAATGTCCGAAAGTCTGACTCCTGTCATTTAATGTTACCGACTATAACATTCTGCGCATTTGCAGAACCGGCGCTGCGTACCGGAGGATGTACTACGTAAATCAGACGCCGCTACCAGAAGTAGAGGCTCAGGTTGATCTATGAGTATGGAGCAAGGTCTCACTCAAGCCATCGCTCCACTGCCTAAAAGTGGCCAAATGCACAATTTCAAGGTTCCATCTAATTAAGTGGCCTTTTCTCAGTTCGATGAAATGTGCTTTAGGAAGGTCTTCGAGGTGTTCATGCGACCACAATTATAATTGACCATTCAAATCTGGAGACTGTATTCTGCCAACGACGCGCAACAATGCTGACTGGCTGTCCTTCGTAGTAGCCTTAACTGACATCATCGATCAGCAATTTAAAGTTGTGGGTGTACATGTTGGCCATGGGCTGATTGATTTTTCTCAGTTCGCTGTTTAGCCATCTGTGTGGATTTTGGGATAGCTTGACGGCACTTGGTCTTCTGTTTTGTCTCCACAGACGAGGATGCTGGCAATCCTGCTCCTTTTTCCGGGGTTGTCTTCAAAATTCTGTCTTCGCTTGCAAATTCTGACTTTATTTTACCTTGTCCTGTCCTTTACTTTCATACATCCCTTTTAATGATCTAGTTTGATCAGATAACTTTATTTTTGAGCTTCGTCTAAGGTATTCACAGCTTGCACTATAATTTGTTGTAAGCAGTTGCGGAGGAGTATTGGCTTCAAAGATTATGGAAACAGAACTTGACAGCGGGTTATTTCTAGTATAACGTCTGAGGGGGGTTTCGCAAACATTTAAAGCTTTTCAAACTCTACCTTCCCTGGTTGATTAATAAATCCAATAACGCACGACGTTATCTGTTGAGGCCATAAAACAAAAGACGTACTCCTGTGTGGACAAAACGCACTGTCATAAACCTTCAATTTGCAAAATCCACTGCCGTATTTCCTTCATTTATTACAATTCATCCTTAGATATGCTTATTTTTATTTCTATATTAACCTCGGGTAAAAATATTGCTTCAACCACTTAAGTGGCGGTCAAGCTATCAGTCAGATTTTATCGCCAAAATTCTGTTCAAGTAGGAAAAAAGTACGTTAATTTTATATCGCCGCGCAATCGGGAAGGATCTCGCTGAAGACCCAGAAGCGTAGCACACGCTGGAAAAACTGAAGAAAATTTCCTTTAAGCCAATCCAAAAGTCAACGATGAGGCAATAAGCTTGGGCAACAGGGCTCCTGTTTTATCGAAAAATGACGCAAACATCCTACAGTTGCCATCATTTCCATTCTAACCGCGCATACCAGTCGGTCTAGGAGGATCAGGTTGCGTCCCGGCCAACATGTAAAAGACTGATGAAAATGATATCTCTCCGTCCATTCTGTGTAAGATATTGAGTCAAGTGCCCAGAAAAGGAAGCCCTTCCTAATCTTTGGAAGGATTGTCACATTCTGGCTATGCTCTTGCACAGCCGATTATGAAGTCATCTCAAGAATGTACTGTTTTCTTCACTCAGTTTTTAATCCCATATATGTAAGTATACATTCAGCGTCCGCTTCGCGATCAAGACGTTGACAAGCATTTTTTTTAAATTTGTGCCAGCGTATTACCATCGTGAACAATATATAAGCTCTCGCCACTCTTGAGAATAAACATCGGTTTTTTTGTTTTAGTTGCTTAATACGACCTTTGCCGCGATAGCACCTTTGGCAAATTGTTTAAATGGTGACGGGTACTACAACGGAATTCTAACATGTGAAAAGTCTCCAAGTTCGAAAACTACTCTAAGCTCTCATATGATATGCAAAACGCATTTAAAAATCAAAAAGTGACGCTCTGTTCTGGAGAAGTTGTTCTACTTTATTGTCTGCGATATATACTATCCTTGTTTTCGCAAAGCGAACGGTCCCATGCACACTAGGCGTTGCAGTCGCGTACAGTCAAGATTATCAATTGAAAAATAACATCCAATTTTCGCCATTTTCCCATTCAGTACACTGTCTTTTAGTACCGTAACTACTGTACACTAGCTTACCGCTTGTTAGCAATCTAAATCCTACGCTCGGTTGCATGAATAACACAACCTAACTTCAGAAAAAAGTACCAATGCGTCCTCATCTCTTTGGAAGCTAAGAAGATTGCAATCTCTTAAATTTGGTCTACGTGTGGAAAATGGAGGATCATGTGTGCGCCAAAACGTGTGTTCTCTGACAAACTGGATTTATGCGCAAACATGTACATTTACTGTGATAAATATGTGTAAAGCGTATAAATCAATCCCAATACTCCCACATAACCTTTGGAAAAGTCCTGAAATTACTTTCCTATTCTACCTTTTTCTCTGTTTGATTTTCAAATGCGTTGGCCTAGACCATATCGATAGTATACAGCAAATGCTTGATCGCATGATGGCCTCTATGGTTTCGTCTTACGCGATATGAAACGACAGAGTTAGAAGACCAGTTTTTGAAAGTGCACATTTCGGAATACGTTTTTCCTGATCTTCGAGTCTACTGACATAACTGCATATAACTACATGTATTAACGTGACAATGTCAGTCATCTCGATGACATCTAACGCATGAATTATAGCAATTTTTGTTGGTAAGCAGTGTCATTACTTCATTAACTAATCTTGTGTAAGGTTTGAAGAGAGGTTATTTGCCTTTCTACAGTAATATCATAAATAAATCAGATTTCTGAACTTCGTAGTCGTAGCAATGCATACACCATGTTTTGAAAGATAGATTTAGTAAGAACATTTGATGGAGTCGCTTGCGGTTTACTCTACAGTACTTATTAGTGAGCGGGAAGAACACTAAGCTTAGGCTTGTGGACCGGTATTTTGGGACCATCTTCAGCGGAATAAAGACTTGCGAATGGTGATCGAAAGCCCTACGTTGAATATTTACATGTATGTTCGAAAAAGTGGCGGACTTGGCTTCAGAAGTCGCATTTTTTGCATGAGTATTCTGAAGTTGTCTTAGTGGAATAGAGAATACTGGCATGCGCCATGCTTCAATAGGCCTTCACAAAAATAACAGCTCATTTTTTGAATATACTTAGAGATGTTTTCCATTTCACGCCACTGCCGTCTGCCAAGGAATACCAACACACCCAAAACGCATGGGCACCGTGAGAGTTTTTGGTTGTTCTTACTCGATAATTTTATTGTTTGGGAACCTAGAGCGTGGCATTGTATTGATACCACTACAGTGCAGAAGCTGGCTTGCAAAAAGCATAGGACACCATGATTCCGCACTGGATAGTTAGACGTGTTAAATGAAATAAGATGACAGAAAGGTTGTTTTCATATCTATGTTTTTGGTTTATCCACTTGCCGTCATCCAAACTGTGGCCGCATATTCCATGACAATAGTACTCAGTTTGGCCAGTTTTATGTCCAAACATCTAACTTTGCTTTTCCGAACTACTGCCTGACATTGCTTTTATCATCAATATAATTATTAAGTGCCATAGAACGAACCTTTTGGCAGGTGCTTACCACTTTTACTATGCCTAAATGCCCATGCAGTTTTTGTGCATGTTAATCTATTCCCGCAACCGAGTGCCGGTGACCCGTTCCTTTTACGTTCCTTTATTTGCAGACATGATTGCGTTTTGATATTTATTTGTTGTACCCTTAAAATAAAGTAAAACATAGAACAAGAGTTCACTGTAGCATTAGTTCGGCGCTTAAAATGATGTTACCAGGATGTATGATTGAAAGTGTCATCTTAAAAATATCTGGACTGCTGTTCTCTGCATAAGTAGGTTTCCATACGCTGTACTTCGGTGCTTATGCCTTCAACAGGTTTTCCATTTAATATCTAGTTGCAAATGCCATTAATTTTGCTACTTAGTTAATTAATGTCGGCAAAGCGCACTGTAATATAATGCTAACTTTTTATCCGTAGAATTGACACCTATTCCCTCTTGCTCTCTACAGAAGACTTGAGTCGAATGCATTTAGCTGGCAAAGCACCTCCGCCCTCTTTTACAAAAGGTGGCCAGATATGCGTTATTAGATGAAAGCAACTTTAAACACCCTATGATGACATTGACTCTAACGAGTCATTCCGGCTGTAACGTTAAATATAATGGCAATCTGAAAATATTCTCTACCAACCAGTTTTATTTACCCTACTTGAAAGTTATGGGTTCACTCTTACGTGATTTACCGTTTTGTTATAGTCAGGAAACATTTCAGATATTTTGTGCTTTTAGTTTGTTTTGTAATGCTTCGTCTACTCGGTTAAACAACAACACATGAACCATTTCTATACTTCATGCTGTCTATAACTGGCTCTCAAGAGGATTCAAGTTATTTCTGTCTGGCTATCACTAGGAAATACTGTTTTGACCCAAGATGAATATAACAGAGTAAACGAAAAGGACTTCGGTCAGCAATTAACGACCATGTTAACAGGACGTCAAAAGTATGCGCAAGATCAGTTGTAATGACTAAGTTCAAAGCAAACGAATGCAGGCAGAGTGATAAAAAGAGTATATGTTTAGTTTCTGGTACTTTATGCCGGATTCATTCAGTTAAGCAGGAGTATTTTCAATCTTTTATAGTATATTTTTTCTTCAATCCTTCTATCGTAGTGCACATGGAATTCCTTTGCTAAACCGGGAATTCTGACTGCCCTATATGGCGAATTATCTGCCACAATGCAAGCCCAGACGCAGCAGAATCAATCCCCCAACAGAACCCAACAGATCCACTGCACTGTCCTCCTCGACAGAAGCCCCGCCTTCTCGGCTCAGTAACAATATCAATGGTCCCTCCTTGAACGGGTTTTCCGCACTTGTCCCTGACAATCTTCAGCCTCCAGAAATCGTATGCACGCGCCGTGCTCGATCATACCTTGAGTGCTCTACCCACTCAAAATTTGATGATGCCAAGTTATCCGCTGCCAACCTACTACCAAACAGTCTCCAGTCAAAAGCATACCCGAATTTATGGCCTACTGTAGCCTTCCTCACAGATAGGATTGTGGTTTCCTCGGGTCCTTCCTACCCTCAACGACATATGCCTCCCTTTTTCGTCGGAACTTCCTTCCTCTTCTTCAATAAGGGGATGAATTGCGAACTTGAAACTTATACTGCTGCTGAGAATTTCAGTTATCCCCTCAGTGATCCCCTTATAAGTGTACAGGGATATCATTTGCAGCCACCACTCAAAAAGATCTGTCTCCAGAGATTACTGCCCTCTTTGCACTCAGATTCCTCATTTTTTCCAGGGTATTATTCTTCTAAAGCCGTGGAATCATACCATCTTCAGCAGGACGTTGGAGCACTAGCATTCGAATCTCCTCAGAAGATACTCATGGGAAATTCGGTGAAAACTGTCGTCCCTGTAGGTTGGCCGGTCCCTATCGGAAGTATCATTCCCAGTGGAGTTTTGATGACTGCATTTGAGGGCCAAAACTACCACATCCAGAGACCTATATGTCATATCACTTTGCTGCCTCAGAGAAACAAGATAGAAATTTATGTGCTGTCAAATGGAAGCTGCAAAATCACAATAAGGACCCTGCCAGATAAACTTCAGTCAACCAAAAGAAGACTGCGAATTCATCGGGCACGTTTTGCTGCAAGTGAACGTGTTCGTGCCAATCCTGTTTTAGAGCGTTGCTATTCGCTCGTCATTTCAACAGAATATCCACGTTACCTCAAATTAAAAGTAAGTGTCCAGGACGTGTTAAGAATGATGGCTGTCTCCTCGGACTTGACTACGGAAATGCCGCCACCACTTAAAGTGTCAGAAGTCACCAAGTGTACTGCCTATGAATATTCCTTCCGATTTCTTGAGTGGTTGGCAGTAAATGACATCTCTTCAGTGGACGATCGTCTCGGAAAACCCTTTTCGTTCCCGGTGAGAATTCTCGAAAAAAGTGTTCCGCAATTACTCTCCACTTTGCAGACCCCTGTTTACTTCCCTGGTGAATTGCAAAAAATGGAAACCATTTTTTGTCATACGGACTCCACCATTTTCTGTCCACTTGATGGACTTGCAAGGATGGATTCAGGTGCCCTTAGACATCCAGTTCTGAGAAATATGGCGGCGAAGGGCTGCTGCAGACACAAATTCAAAGTTAAATCTGTTTATAAATCGCTTCCAATGAAAAGCTTCGCACGGTTGCAATCAGAGTTATTGACAACGGTGTCTTCCATTTCTGATGTCAGTGTTTCTCATGCCGATGTTACGGGCAGAACTGTCTTACCAAATCGCGTCTCAGATGTGGAGCATGCTTTGCGAGGCCCTGTTTGTCGTCACTTGGCACACAAATGTAAACCTGCGAAAGACAGGCACATCTTCTTGTTGGAAAGTTTGTGTCCCAAAAACCCAGTAGGTGAGGTGGAATTGAAAGAGCGGCCATCTTCGTCCTTGGCTTCTTTGGCCTCCTCCAAAGATTCCACAGTTTCAACAACCAGTGATGCCCCCTTAATGTCCAGTACAATCAGAAGTGCCAGCACTGCCTCTGTCAGAAGAAGACGCAAATTCTCTTTCCTAGATCCCTTAATACAGTCTCCTCCCAAAGCAGAGGTCCAGCTCCTTGAAGACAGTAATCAGTCTTCATCAAATACATCACCCTCGACGCAGGATCTTCTGGCACCAGGTGAAGTCTCCACTCCGTTAATGAAAGACACCAATACATTCCTCGGTAGCCCTTTTCAATCTGCTGTTAGTACAGTGTGTGTAGCATCGGATACACCGGTGGTGGAGGCTCTTACGCAGTGCGCCTGCTCCTGTCCTTTCCACGGCGGTTACTCGAATGCTCTTCTGGCGGAACACCTACAGCATCAACATTCTAACGAGAGAGTCTTGGAAAACGAAGATTTCAAGTCTGAATTCGAAGCAGAGGCTGTATATTGTGGATCGGTATGATTTTCAAATATTTTAAATCATTCGAAAATTGTATGGTTGATGGCTTCGGCCTCGCATGTTGGTTTTAGATAGTGCCTATCACACACCCACGAATTTTTAAAAAAGATTATTTATACAGGCGATGTATTCAGATTGTTCTAACAGTTAGACTATTAACCTGCCTTTTCGTTAATGGAGGCCAATTCGTTTGTTATTTACCAATATTTCAGATGTGCGTCATTAACTATTTCAAATTAGAAGGGCGAAGTCACCTAATTTTTCATCGATTCTCCCT